TTTAAGGTTCCTCACCAGTTTTGATCTTTTGCCTATTTGTATGCGTTTGGTGTTAATTGGTTCTAGGTGGTTTTGTTTCTTTGTCTCTACTCATATGATATAATCGAAATCTGCTCTGTTCAATGCCTCTATTGAGGATGTCCAAAAGTCGTATTTTTTACATTGCCTTTACCGTAAGAAAAGAAAAGTGAGGAACTTGATGCTTTATCGTGGTTTATTCTTACCGGTCTAGAGGCCTAGAAACACTTGGTTTGGGAGATAGTGTTGCTTCGCAATAAGAGGATCGATGGTTAGTTGCGTTGGACCTGTGCGTCCATTTACAATTAGCTTGGATCTTCAACATTTAGGGAGCTATGGTTGATGAGTCTTGTTCTTTTAGTTACAAGCCTAAGTCGATGCTTTTGTCGTATGTTGCTTGTGAATGGCCATTGTGGCTTCATACTCTCATGGAAGCCGAGTTCGCTATAGGACATGGGAGTATATGATAACCAGTTTGGGATGTCAGGATGATAATGTTGCTTATCATCTTAAGGCGTGGGATTATCCATAATTCCATAACCTGAAGCTTTGTTGCTCATGTTGTATAACACCTATTGGTGTCTTATTTGAAACTTTGTATTCTTTTCATACCAGTTTTCGGTTATAATAAATTTGTCTTTTAGTGTTAAAAAAAGTTATATTTAACTAAATCTTGTAATATATTTTTTGCTGAATCTTGTAAAATTATTTTACATAGCAAATGGTAACTGCGAAATTGGTGAATCTAGCAAAAAAAATTTATATGTCACCATTTACGGCCTAAAAATAGGGGACTATTATATGCATATTATTCGGGTAAACAAATTAAGCTAAGTTCGGGTAATTTTCAAGAATTTCTCCGTAAAAAAATTAACACAGTTTATCATTTTGAGTTAACGGGTTAACGCTACTAGAATCGAATGTGTAAAACCTACAAAATTTGAAAGATTGAGTATATAAAAAGCAACTGTAAATATTTTATGTATTATTTGAATAGCTAAAATTGTGTATTTTATAAGCAAATTAAATTAAGTTCGGATGTTTTTCAAAAAAAATTTTCCCTATAATTTTAGGGCCGGTTTGGTCGGTGTGTTTAAAAGGGCCACACAAGAAGAAGGGTTTTACTTTGAGAGTAAGAAGAGGTTTTTGAGGGTTTATATGACGCGTCCGAAATCAAACGCGCCGCCGCCGAGCAAGCAAAAGTTTTCCGGCGCCGAGAGATCAGCTTTGTTCGCTAGAAGAGAAGCTGCTAATGTCCTCCGAACCGTTCTCCGAGGTGACGCCAACCGCCGAGCCGTTGCCTCCATCAAGTCACTCGTCTTCAGCCCTTCCGTCCGCAACAAACGCGCCACCTTCGCTCTCGTTTGCGAGACGCTCAAGCGTATCTTCTCTTCTTCAATAATCATATGCTTCAATCGCTCAAAATTTGATTTTATGAGCGTCTTAAGTTATGGTTCTTCGTTTGTGAAACAATTTTTGTCACTATGCAGATCTTAGTGTGATTAAAGATGTTCTGGAAATCGCTAATGTATTGAATAGCAAATGGAAGGTAATTTGGTAATCGTTAATGGCTAGATTTTCTGTGTTTTTCAATTACTTGGAATGCTTAAAGGCTTTCTTTCTGGTCTCCTTTGTAGAGGCAAGAACCATTGATCTACATTATTTGCTACGATATCCTTTTCGGCAAGGTAATAGGGCTCAAACTCAACTCCATTACCGTACTAGAATGTGGCTCTATGTTTTGGTTTTCTCAAGGGGAACTTGTATTTGCAGGATTCTCCATTAGTTGGTGATGCTGAGAATTTTCTCATGCGCCATAAAGACGCTCTGCTCTCGGGTTTAGCCACGGTTCTAGTGAGAAAGAAAGTTGAAAGCGTAGATGAGTTGTTGGGTGTTTCTCAGCTTAAGGGTATTTGATATCTACCCTAGCATAAACTTGTTACCTGTTTTGTCTTTTGAGTTTTTTTTCTTTCTGTATCTTGATTTCGAAATTGGATGCAGGTCAATCAAAACCACGTTATGTTCGTGTGAATACACTCAAGATGGATGTAGATTCGGTAGTACAAGAGCTGGAAAAGCATTATAAGGTACATTCCAAGCTTTTAATAATGCTTAAAGAAACTGGTGTTCTATATCTGTTGGTCAGTTCTCTCTCAGGATGAGTTTTAACATAATAAGGAAGGTGTTAGGATTAGTGATCTCTCATGTCACAATCTGCTCTTCATTTCCAGAGTTCATTTTTCTTGCATTTGTTTTTTCATTATGAAAATAGGTGCAGAGGGATGAGACAGTTCCTGACTTGTTGGTGATGCCCCCTGGCAGTGATTTGCATGCTCATCATTTGGTTAAGAATGGGCGTATATTTTTGCAGGTAAATATTACTCTGTAAATTCTGTTTAATAAGTATGTAGTTAGTTTTACTGATATTTGTTCCTTTGATTGATAGGGGAAGGCAAGTTCAATGGTAGCAGCAGCACTGCAGCCAGAAGCAGGATGGGAGGTAGGCCACCAGTCTCGCCCACATTTTCCCATTTGGAGAAACATATATGACAATAGAATTTTGCATTTGGTKCTTATTATGATGACTGTGGAATACACTTAATGTATTCTGTCTGCTTAGTTAGTTACCATGCTTAATTTTCTCTCTTTTGTGAAGGTTCTTGATGCATGTTCAGCTCCAGGAAACAAAACTGTTCATCTTGCTGCTCTTATGAAAGGACAAGGAAAAATTATAGCATGCGAGCTAAATCAAGAACGAGTAAAGCGTTTGGAACAGACTATAAACCTGTCCGGTGCTACCAGTATCCTTCTCTATTTTGTTTATACGTATAATACCCTTTGGCTTCTGTTTGATAGTTTTGTTCATAGTGAGTTGAATTACATGAAATTGAAGAACAAAATTGATTGAATTATTGCTTCTCAGGTCATGTCTGTCCATGATTGTTTTTCTTAACCCCAAGTTGTAGATATTGAAGTCTTTCATGGTGATTTTTTGGGACTAAATCCGAAAGATCCTTCTTTTGCAAAGGTAAGCATTACTTAGTCTATGGTATGGCTATCTAATTTTCTTGTAGTTCCATAAAATGTTTGCATGCCAATGTTTTTAGAATCATTTCTTGATCTTAGATCTTCTTTAGCTAGCTGTAATTAGGATATATATAGTCTGAGTCCAATTTCTTCATTTTCTTTTGTTTTGATAGTCTACCGTGAAGAGTCACTCTCTATAATGAACAATAGTAGCCATCTGATATAATTGTATAGAGTCATGTAGCATGATCAGATGTAGTCATTTGAGCCATTTTTCTGCATGCTTGCATGTGGCTGATTATCGCAGGTTCGCGCTATATTGTTGGATCCTTCTTGCTCTGGCTCTGGGACCATTACAGATCGTTTGGACCATCTCCTTCCTTCTCATTCAGCAGGTTTTAACTGGTTCTTCTGTGTTTGTGTGTGTCATGTTATGTAGTGACTGAACCTTAAAGACACTTTTTCCGTGTAGATAACATGAACTATGACTCCATGAGACTGCACCAGCTCGCTGTTTTCCAGAAGAAGGCTCTGGCCCATGCACTCTCCTGTGAGTTAACATACTTGTCTCATGTTGGCTAAAGCAATATACATCCATGCTCCATAAATTTTCTCTAGCTAATTGTGATGAAGTTTTTACTTAGCTTTTGATGTATCTCCCGAACTCATTGACCCAAATTTTCCCTCCGTGAATGCATATATGTATACACTAAGAGACGCTTACCGATTATATAAATATGAATGAATGATAACTAAACAAATTGTAGTACTCAACCTATGCCTATACACTGTAGTTCCACAGGTTGAGAGAATAGTATACAGCACCTGCTCCATCCACCAGATAGAAAACGAAGACGTGGTCTCATCTGTTTTACCTCTGGCTACATCCTTTGGCTTCAAACTCGCTACCCCTTTTCCTCAGTGGCAGCGTCGTGGTCTCCCTGTATTTGCAGGATGTAAGTATCTCCCTTACCTTACCATCTGGTTTCACCTGATTTTGAGTCTGTTTCCAACAAGTTGATCGTGTCGGCTTTGTCTTGCAGCTGAACATTTACTCAGGATGGATCCGGTCGAGGACAAAGAAGGATTCTTCATCGCTTTGTTCACCAAGACAAACAAACTTGATAACCCGAAATCGTCTGAAATCCCCGAAAGAGAGTGTAGACAAAGACGCAAACAAAGAAGCATACGATTCCATCCCTTTCTTTGGCCCAAAATGTTCAGAGCTAGGAGTGGGATCTTGCAAGCGCGCAGGAGGAAACCCACATTAGAAGAAGACTAGACTCATCTTCTCACTTAATTATTGTAAAATTTTTGTTTCTGCCTTTGATCTTAGGAACATGAAAATGGGTAAAAACAGCAAACCCTCTTTTAACTTTTTTTATTCACATTACACGAATACACGAAACTGCACTTTCAGTTTACATCAAGTTGATTAATAGTACATTATTTCTATAAAAAAAAAATGAGGAAACTATACAGAATATGACACACAGAGTGATTGAAACATGTGGGCGATTCAGACACAAGCCATCATCTACTCTCAGGCTTATGTAACCTTAAAAGCGGGGAGTTTTCTCTAACGCAAACCAACGAGCGTTCACCACGTGTCCAGTCCCATATCACCTTTTTGAGTCAGTTAAAGGCCGCTCCTTTGTTTTGTCCAAAACGACCCATCGTTTCGGTTTGGCTCTCTCTCTATTTCACTA